CCAGGAGAAAGAAGAGGCACCTGAATACCAGCTAAGTGCACTATAAGTCCCTTTTCTTTCTTCCTTACGCTGTGCTTCACTCTGACCTTTGCGCTGTGCGTCACTCTGACCTCTGCGCTGTGCGTCACTCTGACCTCTGCGCTGTGCGTTACATTACTGACCTTTGCGCTGTGCGTTACATTACTGACCTGGCGGAGTTAAGTCCGGGGCAGGGTAGGGGTTAGGTGGGCAACTGGTGGCGGGTAACTTTTAAGGCCTGGCTAGTAGCTCAGGACTTGAATTTTTGAGCCCTGGTCTAGAGTACACTAAAGAAATCTGCAGTGCACATGTTTTTACAGTGGTGGGGACAGATGGGTTTTAATAAAAATGTTTTTTCTTGCAGCTCTTTAGAAGTGGAACCAATTACCACCCAGGGTTGCTGTCGGAGGATGATGTGAAAACTGTTAAAATTTTATATTCAGATAAAAAAATGATTCTTTATGAATACAAAATAGCACCCACACATATTATACATCACACCACTAGCAGCAATCATCAATATAAAGATGACAAGTCCCAGCACAGGGGACTGAAGGCACAGCTGTCCCCATGCTTCTTGCTATGAGGTCCTATTCATTTTTTAACATAGAGACACACAGACATGTTTATAATTGCCGTGATATGTGTACAATTAATCTGCTAATGACAGCTCATGAGGAAAGAGGAAGCGTAGGTATGTAAAAATTATATATTTCATTTTCTTTAGTCTGCCTGCTAAAAGTTTGTTTTTTACTTGGTCTGGTTGCTGCTGTTATAGATCACAGCACACCTTTGTCAACAAGGTTACTTGAACCAAAGTATTGTAAAGTAAAGCTGGCCATACACTACCGTGTTTCCCCGAAAGTAAGACCTACCCCGAAAATAAGGCCTAGCACTATCTTCAAAGAATTTCAGCCGTTTCTTTACGAGGCTGAAATACCAAATTCGCACAATTGTCGGCACCCTTCCGGCTGGCATCCCTCGATCAGCCGGCTGTTGTCAGAATACAAAGGAAACAGCAAGGCATTCCTCCATCGATGCTGGTAAGCGTTGATGGAGGATCTGTTCCATGTTTATCGTTCAGTCCGCAGGCTGAATGAAAGAAATAGAACAGTGTATGACCAGCTTTAGAGGTGAAAAAAACATTGTGAGAACAATTATGGGAAGCTCACAGCTTACAGCCTGACACATCCAAAATGATTTTCTTTTTTTTTTTAAACAGTAAAAATAAAACAGAACCTTTGTCTGCTTTTCAATGTTGCATCTCTCCTTTGGAGTGCATTTCCCACCACCCCGTTCTCTCCCCGACACCACTCACCTGAACAGGCAGTGAGGGGAAACCTCCCCACTGGGGTTGGCAATACGTACCTGAAAGAGTTTCTTTGCCTTTGCCAATCCAATAACACACAACTTGTGAATGAATCAACCAAACTTTGTTATTATATTTATTTATTCTCCAGCTTTATACAAACTGGATGTAGAAGCATAAACATAGTACATTTCTACCATTTTCAACAAAAATATAACCAATATGTACAATTATTGTATTAAAAATACAAAAGGGATACAGACTCTACCAATGTCTTTCTAAAAGACATACAGGTACAAGTAGTATCAAAAGCATGATGAAATCACCAGTTAGTTGTACATTCTGCACTTGACATCACAGAGCAAACTGAGGTTAGCAGTCCTATGTTCTACCGTTATATGATGCTGAGAACGTTTGTGCAATGTGTCACTGAGCGCGGCTTCCGATTGCCTAGATGCACGAGCTCCATCGCCTACATCAAATTAAAAAAGCTGCAAATAAATGTATGTTACATGTAAAATTACATAGGCATAACTGACATTGTGATAGAGAAGTAAGGTAGACAAAAGCCATGGTAACAGGATAGAGATTCATTAAATAAAGCACTGATGTTGTTATAAACAGTGAAAAAACACTGCATTCTGTTTCATTGTTTTCTTTAAAGTTGTATACATATATATATATATACATACACACATATACACACAAGTAACAACTGATCAATATGATCAGCTCAGCTCAAAAGGAAAAAAAAAACAATATTCATCATAATAATCCAAGATCACAAGTTCCTCACACAGGAGTTTAACTCGGATTGGCAGCCTTCAGATATCCGGAGTCTGTGCAAAGGGAGTAGACGGCGATCTGAGTCGTGGAGATGTACAATAGCAGCTGTGAGCAGGTAAATGCTACACATTGGTCTTCTCTACAAGTGCAGTGTCCAACAATGGCCAATCTGACCAGTCCTCCTCCCATCTACATGAATGTGCTGCGTCATTATGGAGGGCCAATAAAAAAACAAAACATGATTATGGTGGATGGAGAGGTTTCCGCTTTCAGATGAGCAATGAGAGTTCGTCTTAATAACTACTAATAGCATTTGTTGAGAGTCCCAAGCTGCCATCACTTCAATATAATCCAGTTCTTTTATCAGAATTAAAAATCTCTATATAAACATAAAAATAATTCATAACTTAGGTGTGAAATAACACTGTATCCTGATGTAACAAATAAGCTCTCAGTGCGCAAAGTGTGCACCTCCTTTGCTGCAGAGGACTCCTCGCGCATTAAAGGTATCATAGTGTAACAAACGGGACTGTAAACGAAACAAAATCAACTCAACAATCTGTGCACAGAGACTTCTGAAATGCAATCTCAGCTCACGTTAAAAAAGGCTGACAGAAGCACGTGACTAGCTTGGCCTACAAACAGCAGACAAAGCCGAGATAGTGAATCAAAGTTAAAACCGATTTAAAAATAAAGACACCCTCAGAGCATGAGGAAGTGTAATCAGGGTCGGGGTCGTTGCTGATGTGGTATTTGTGGAGTTTGGAATGACGATGTGCAAGGTCCATCCAGCTACCTCCTGGAGGCAGCTTTCTGCACTGTTTCAAGCAACACAGCTTTTGCCAAGGACAAAAAGTGCCAAAATGATGTTTTCACAGTATTTCACATGCCGGGGAGCGGGACAGAGGGACTGATGATGCCCAGTGCTGCTTTAAGGCAGAAGAGGAGGAAACAGGTCCACAGGCTCCAGTCATATGGGATGTCCTTTTGTGCTCTCTTTTCAAGGCGGCTTATCCTTTCACAGGGCAAGATGTCATCCTCACACAGCAGATACTTGCTCATCATCTGGCAAAGTAAAAAATATAATTAAAATATGAGAATTCTATAGGCTAAACCTTTACCACAGCATACAATAATGTAAAAACCTTCAATCTCCACAATAGATCAATAGCCTTAGCAGAAAAAGCCTGCAAGTTTTAGATTGCACAGTGAGAGCGTTGCCTAGTGTTGCCACCTGTCCAGGATTCACCCGGACAGCCCGGGTTTGGAATGCTGTGTTTGGGTTTCATGGCAGCAGAAACCCGGACACAAGATGTCAGGCAGACAGGGGCAACCAAAATTAAGATAGGGGCTACTGGCCCCCCACTGAAGATAGTTTCAACTGTGATATTTACATATGAATGGGTGGTGCCATCTAGATATGAATAAGCCGCGACTCATTCCCCCCAAAAAATGTCCGCACGTCACTAGGAGTGTTCGGGTTTCGCTTGAAGAAAAGGTGGCAACCCTAGCGTTGCCTGTGAAAGGAAACCTGTCTTAGGGCCATGTCATGCTAGAGATCCTGGAGCTTGCCACAACTCACCAGCAACAGGATCACTAGGCAGAGCAAATACTCACCTGGTTTCACATGTTTCTCCCTCACTGTCCAAATGAGTGAGTTGTTGCTTCATCATTGATGGAAATACTGCAGAATTCCATTCTCTAACAACGGCTCGCCCACTTGGACAGAGAGGGAGTGTCATGTGCCACCTGCATTTACTTTGGTCTGCATAGCAATTCTGGAACTGGTGGGTTTTTGTCAGGACAGCTAGTGAAACATGGGCCTTGCAACAATGCTGCAATGTACAACGCAAAAATGATCTGTTATGACCATGCGTTAGTGCCATGTTTATTTTTACTGAACGAGGCTGCATGAGTTTTGCCATGAAAACATTAGTGTAATGAATCCCATAGCAGCCAATTGCAGGTCAGTATTGCTTACTTTGCTATTAAAAAACATTTCTAAGCAAACATTTAATTGGACTGTGGCTCTATAACTTGGTATAATTGTCTTTGAAGGCTAAAATGGACAAAGTGAGAAGCAGTCAACTAGTTTAATTTAGAGGGTCGGAGTCATTTTAGAGGTATTACACCTAGTCAGGACATACTGCAATTGTCCGGCAGTTAATAGTTTTGGTATGAGGGCCACATTCCGACTGGTCTTTTCTCCATCATGTTTCTATGAAGAAACTGGGGAGAGATGGGTCAAAAATAGGAGGTGCAAAAAAAATTTGTTAGACCGAAAATAATTTTTATTCTAACCTTTTTAAAATTATTTTTAAAATATTTTGTTTATTTTTTCTTTACTGTTGGGGGGCTTTGGGGAAATATTAGCGATCTGAACAGACCCCTGATATTTCGCTTTTGAAATAGAAGAGATTGAGGACACAGAGTCCTAAATCTCTTTCTGCATCCCCTGTTACAAATGAACAGGAAGCTTCTATACTGAGTGTTCCAGTCCATTCATAAACTGTGACTATAATATGAGTTACTATGTCAACAATCATGAATGAACAGGAAATTATGTAGAGCACATCCTGTGCATTCATAATTGGGGACACACTAAACATACTATGTCCTCAGTTATTTACAAGCACTTATTGATCAGTCCTGATCGTTGAGTGCTTGTAACTGCTCTCCATCCTGACTCGCCGTCACAGGAGGCTGAGCAGGCAAACCTGTGACAGCTCTACTCCCCGCTTGGCCTCCTGAAGGTTTCTCCCCTCCCCACTTAACATTGCACTGTGTCTGAAGGGACAAAGAGCAGCGCCCAGCGAGGAGGAAAGAAACTCAATTTTGCACCACAATTTTGGCTGAAAAATTGTACTTTCAGGATTTTGGCTGAAGAACTAATTTTGGCCTATATGTTTCGGCGGCCAAAATCTCAGTGCATCCCTAGTTAAAAATACCAAAAGTGCCCCTACTTTATGCATCAGGTGTCACCAGAAGTTCAAGCAATGCACTTACCGTCATCTTTTGTAACCCCTTGTGCCTGATACTTAGATAGTCGTGGATCTGTATCATTTGGTTTATGCCACTGTGGCTTGTTAACAATCTTGCTAGAATGTTGATTGTGTGATGGGGGAGATGTTGCAGGTCCTCCTTCACTGTCACCCCTTCGAGCCATCATCCTGGAGCGCTGCAGTGCTACATTGTAATCTGGTGGCTTTCTGGATAACTGTGGGTGTCCTTCTGCAAAGTCTGCTATAGGAATTCCTACATATCCAGGAGGTGTTGGTGGTGGTTCTCGATACCGGCCATCTTTCCGTGCTGTGGTAACACAATACACTACCATAAGAGACAATTATTGTCACAACAGAAACGCAACATAAAAAAATAAATACAAAATAAACATATGTGCAAATAAAAATCTACAAATGCATTGATAAACACAAAAGCAAATGAAAAAAACACAAAAGCAAATGAAAAACACACAGAACTGTAAGGGAGAAGTAAACAGACTGGTTTACTCTATAATATATATATCATTATTAGGGGTCGACAGCAGCCACCTTTATTATAGGTAATATCGGCAAATTTAATGGATACCGATAATTAAAAACTTGGGAATATTGCCCCCGATTATCGGTAGATCCAATAATCGGTTGGCCCCTAATGTATATTGTTTAACATTTTCATAAGTACTTTAAAGTGTATTTCCACTTTTGCAGCCCAATTGGGATAACCCCTTTTTTATGTGTTACATGTTACCATTCACATGGCATATGCTAAACAAAATCTTTAAAAACTCTTCCTGCAAAAGAAAAATGTCTGGTATGGTGTGTGAATAGGAACACAAAAGAAACACATAGTGGGGTTTTCTCAAATTTGACTGCAGAAGTGGAAACATACTTTAAAGTGGAACAGAAACCAAAACTTGCTTTTAATTTTGCATAGAATGGAGAGGAATTAGTACCCGTCAGGTTTTCATTGCTGTCCGTGTCTTCGATAACCCTCGTCTATTAGTCTATATGAAATTAATCGAAAATCTCACATTTAGAGCTAATAATTTAGAGCTAAAAACAGAACTGAATAGGAACAGAGGGAAAATCTTTCAAATCTTCTAATAGCGACACACTAATGCAGGGTACACTAATGTACTGTTCTGGCTATTGAACAGGAAATGAAGGGAAATCACCCCAATGGGACACAGATGGCAAAGAAAAACTGACAGGAGTCATAACCCTTACTGTAATCAAAGAAGAAAAAAAAAAAGTTTGGCTTCAGTTCTACTTTAGGGACAGTGAGTGTTCATAGAGCTGAATGGGGCTGTACTTTAACGCTAGAGAACCTAGTGGTGACGCTCTAAATCTATAGACACTCACTGAGCAGGTGTTGGAGAGGCCGACACCATCATGGAGAATAATCTGGATGGTGGATCTTAATAAGGTCAGATTAGGAGGCGAAACTAAACTTGTTCTTAAGTAGAGTATACATGATCCAAATTGTGTCCAGTTCCTAATGACCAGTTGAAATAAGGAGCAGGATGGAAAGTCTTTGGCTGAATGGTGCTCACATCGAATCAGCTGCAATCTCCATTGGGGCATTGTGTGTGGGGGCTTCGAGCAACAATAAAACAGAGACCTTGGTGAGGGAAAGAATACAACAAAATAGCAGGAAAAACACCTATCCCTGAGAGCCAAGCCCCCAGATGATTAGGATTCTATCATGTTATAACAAAGGTGGGACCCAAGATTCCTGCTAATTCAGCTGTAATAAGTGGGAACATTTTGTGAAACTGAAGGTTTCTAAACCCTCTGAAAAAGCTAATATTTTGTCCTAGTCCCATGAGTGAAGAGTGGTAAGGGATGCTCAGTTAGCACAGATGACATTTTATCATATGTAAAGGACACAAAGCGCATGTATGTGAAGCCAGCCTAAAACAACACTAATGCAGCAGCTGTTTAATGTCACAAAACCCCAAATCCAAAAATGAGAATTCTGAATGGTGTGTTCTTAAAGCTAACAATGGTCTGATCGTTGTGTGCAATACTGTACACATATAATGTCTAAATGCTCTAATAAAGGTTCTTCTAACTGTTCTATCCTCCATATGTTCAGTAGTGAAGGACAGATAATCCCACTGACAACCAGGAAGCTATGAAAATGATCATAATTGATCCAAGCAGGAAAAGTGTCTTCAGGCAAACCTTTTGTTAAGAGTATTTCTTGGCTAACAGAAAGCTCTTCTCTGTGACTACACCACTAAATACAGCGGTAAAGGGAACTCAAAGCTTTCTTACTCACACTAGTTTCCCATCACCCCAACATTCACAAGATGCCTAATCTAAAAAATCCCATAATATTAACTTTGTGATTTCACAAATGAGCTAATTAAAAGGTGCACACATTATCCATATATGCCCCACTTCACTATGAAGCATACCATTATATACTATTTAAATGAAGTTATATCCAAGGCCCACCCTGATCCTTGACTATTTGGAATATAAGCTGTCTTCAAGGTCTGGGTTCCAATTGGAGGTTTCAGCCCAAAACAGGCTTTACAGTTTTGCATGGAGTTCTACTTTACCATGTGTAAATCAACACCAGAATGCAAAGCAATACACTAAACTGATGCCTAAATCCTAAGTTGAAAGCCCAACATCAAGGCATGTAATGAGTATGACACAACTAGAAAATAAGCTGTTCTTACCAATAAGACCCTTTGAGGAAGCTGCTGTCACAGCTATGTGTGTGGGCACAGGCAGAGGCTTTGTCTCTTCTGCAGTTTGTGATGATATGCTGCTTGTTTCTGCTTCAATAGCAACGTCTTTTCCCCCTCGTCTCTTAATGGTGCCAGTGTCCCCCTCTGAGTCCTCACCCCAGTAGCCAGTGGAAGATGCCCAGCTTGCTCTGGACTGTGCTTGTTCTAAAGCTTCTCTTCCTTGATTGTGTCTGCCATGCTTTGTGCTATGATCAGAAAATATTAAATGGTCTATATGACTTCCCGAAGGCCAGTAACCTGCCCCATCTGATGTGCTGTCAAAATGAACATGGCCAAATGGCAGAGTCTCCCAACTCCTCTGATGTGGTATAGTCTGTATGTTGTCATGGGAGCCACTTGAACAAGAGGTCCAGCTACCTCGTCCGCTGTCTGCAGCATCCAGTGAAGCTCTATCACCCTGATCCTGGGACAGTTCCTCCATGCTCGGAGAAGACAAAACCGTTCCACTCGCGTACAAGCCTCTATTCTCCACCAAATGTGCATAGTGCCTAGAAGAGTAGTAAGAAAACACAAATGAGCAAACAATGAATGTATATTCACAGATCCAAATTCCACACAAATGTAATAAACAAATGCACTACATTTATTGATGAAATAGCTAATACAATTGTGCAAGGGGCAGAAAGCAAAGTAAAGCAAAGTGCAGCAATCATCAGTACTCAGGAGCAATCCATCTCGCAATTGCTCTGTCTTCAGAAACATGAATCCTGATTGGTTGCTATATGTTACTGCCCTTTGCAATTAAAATTCTGGATGGCATGGCAGAACGTTTAATTCTGCTAACATTACAATTGCATTTGCAATGATGTGCATCTGCAACAAGTTCAGAGAGTGCCCAGTCGAGAACTGGAAAATAAAGTAACAACTTCGCATGTTGCTGAAAACAACAGCATAAAAAGTCATAAAATAACCGTTCTGCAAAGTGTTTAGCAGCCTCAGAACAAAGTGTTTTTCCTTATTACTATCACTTATGGTATGGTGGTGTGGTAGTTTTTTGCGATTTCGCAGGTGCGCGCAATTTTAATGGCTTTACATGTTTGGGGTCTATTTACCCAACGTGACCCCATCTTTTATATTTTACCAAAAAATTGGGTAATAATGTTTCCTAACATAATAAAAGGTAAAACATTTTTTTTTTAATTTTCTGTACTTTTTTCGTTCTATAGCAAAAAATAAAACCCCAATGGTGATTAAATACCACCAAAAGAAAGCTCTATCTGCCCCAAAAAATGGTATAAAATGAATTTCAGTACAGCATAGCATGACTGAATAAATGTCAAAGTACCGCAGCGCTGAATACTGAAAAATGGCAGGAAGGGGGTTAAACACCTGGTCAGCAAGTAGTTAAGATAAATAATATTGAACAAACAGGTTAGGGAAACAAGAAATGAGAGCATTTGGATACATACCCCATGTAGCAAGGCTCGGCTTCCATTGCAGCTCTTCTGTCTGTCCTCCCCACACCCAGATTAGTCTCCACAATGCTCACTGAATGCCGCTGCCGCCTATTATCATGGAGGTGCATGCCATCAAATGAGGAATTGCTAACTATACTGGAACGAGAAGAGATCTCACTGTGCCCAGAGTCTGAGAAATTATCCACAGTGCCACTTGCTGGCATGGAATATCCTGTAAGATAAGGAAAGCTATAATGACACTCATTCTTCTATTACATAATGAAAAGCAAAACAAGGTCACGGCGTAAGGCCACAGTAGCAAATGTTTCCAATGAACATTTATGTCGCATTTAATTGTAGGTGTTGATCTTATAGAATGGCGGATTTAGACTAGCAGGTGAAAAAAGGTAGCTTCATAATGTAGGCTCTTTCATATATTTCTTAGGTTACATAAAAGCTTACACTGCTACCTTTATTAACATTTAAAGACAGTCTGCCAGAATCTGATTTGCTGCTATTTCTTATAGCATGTTACACTTTGTATACAATGAATATATACTGGGTGAAGGAATGAACTATAGAAATGACTTGTTCAGAAATGGAGCCTAAAGTGGCATTAAAGGAGAACTATGGGGTTACGGGTCCTTAGGGTAACGGGAGGACACAAAGTAGCGTCCTCCCGTCACCCTAGGCTCAGTATACCGCGAGCTGTAGCTCGCGGTATACTGAGACCCCACAGTATACCGCGAGCAGCTGCTCGCGGTATACTGAGACGCCGCAGCTGAAGTAGATCCCGACAATTGTGCCGGGATCCGCCCAGCTGCGTGACTGACAGCTGGCTCTGCCTATCTAGAGGCAGAGCCAGCTGTAGCCGCCCCATCCCCGTCCGTTCCGCCAGTTAGCGGTGGCGGATCGGAACGGGGAGGGAGGAATCCAACCCCTCCCCTGTCACGGCAGAGAGCCGTGACAGGATCGAGAGGTGAGCGAACGCCGGTATGTGTTCGCTCACCTTCCGATCTACTGAGCCGACCTGTGACAGTTTCATTGTCACAGGTCGGCTAGAACTAGGAGGTGAGTGAAAAGCACTCACCTCATAGTTCTCCTTTAAAGGATACATTTTTTTCCCCTCCCCCCAATGTTAATGTCAGCACTTACCTTAAATGATGTCTCTTAATCCGATCTTCCTCTTCTTTCCCCATGTTTTCATCTGTCCCTCCAGCGGTGCGGCGGCTCTCCGATCCAGCGCTGACTCCTCTCTGCTTGGAGGCACTTCTTGTCCCACGGAGTCTGCATGCGGGTGCACGCGTCCATAGACTTACCTTGCGTCTCTGCTCGTCTCCCGGCCGAAAATCCGAACTGCGCCCGCCCCAAGATCCTTTGTGGGCCGCCAGATCAGTTTCGTTTTCTCAGACGGGAGCGCGAAGCCGAAACAAGGTAAGTGTTGAGCACTGTTAACGCGTTTTGTTTTTTTTTTAAACGGGAGGGTTTAGAACCACTTTAAATGTGAGGAAAGCATGCAGAATTTGTACATATAAAACATCCAGCTTTAGGAAAACAAAACGGCAGAAATATAATCTTTGGACTGCTGTACAATGGTTCAGAATTGTCATGATGTCATGGAGAGGCCCTGTGTGACCATAGCAAAGTCATTGCACACTAGCATATTGTATGACATACTATCGCATGGCTTCAATTTTCTGAATGGTTTGTTACCTTTTCTTGGAGAGTTCTGCGGGGAGGTCGGAGGAGACGAAAGCTGCGATGATGCATTGGATAAAGTGTCCTCTGCTGCTTTCTTGTGTCGTTCAAAACTTCCTTCTTCTGATAAGGAAAGAATTTTCTTTAACGCTTGTGGTGAGTTGATGCCTTACAGAAAAAATAAAAAACTAACTAACATTGTTGGGGGGCATGGGGTGGATGGGGCAGTGAAAATGAAATGCACCAATTAGCAGACAAATGCAGAAAATATATAGTCCTTACAGAACTAGCTATATGTGGCAACATCTGCCTGTCAAATTATTCAAGGGATTGTTCAAAACAAATATGCTTTAGGTAGATGCTGATTAAATCAGCAACACAATTAATCTACCTTTGGAGAACTACAACCCTTCATTGGTTGGCCATTTGCCACAGACACTGTAAGGGAGGATTAGGCCGGGAAATGTTTATTATATTTTACACTGAAGGAGAGCAAAGTGGAAGAGTGAGACTTCTACTGGCACACCTGAACTTGTGACAGTCCGCGCTGGGCTATAAAGCCGGTGTCAGGCAAGAGATATAACCAGCCTAAAGATAAATCAGTCCACCAGCAATCACCTATAACCGGTATATTTGTTCTATCTGGACTGGCTGAATGATACAAGGTCATTAACAATAAAGATGAACTATATGTTATGCTCAAGCTATTTTAAATGCAAAGTATTTCTATAAAATTCAGCAATACTTACCAAAAGGAGGAAGATCCTTGACTGGCACCTTCTTCCTGGAAGGATAAAGAGCCACAGCTGGCACCTGCAATGCTTGGTTCACCTTTATTGGCTGTTGCTGTTTTTGCTGAGTAGCTGCCCGCGGTGCTACTGGCGATGTGTCTGGCTTCCCTGATCTCTTGTCACAAGGTGTTTTTGGCACTGAGGAAACATTTAACCTCTGGTTATAACTATGTTCCAATACAATTCTTTAACAGGACCATGTAACTTATCAATCTTACTAATAAAAGTGTATGTAGAAATAACTGTGTGAAAAAAGTGCCATTGCAGTCTCACAACTTTTATATATCTTTACAGTCCTGTACGCCTGTATGTTATGACATGTGACTGATTGTTGCTTGGATATGCCTTAAAATACCTCTCTTAAAATTCCGTACCAGTGTCCCCTCACCGACTTGTACAGCAGAGAAAGAGAGGGTCCTGTCTGACCAGTATAGTTACTGAATGCTGATTACAGAGTGCAGTGGGTCTATTGTACTGCACAGATATATTTAAATACCCTGCGCAACTGAAACTACCCTGTTTCCCCGAAAATAAGACCTAGTACTATTTTTGTGAATTGATAAAATATAAGACCTACCCCGAAAATAACATCTAGTTGTGACCATTCCCAGGGCTGGTGGTGGCATAAGGGGGAACTTGAAGAGCCGCGGGAGAGAATCAGCGGTGCCAACGAAGCCAGCGCTAGAGGAAGCTAGGCGGCACCGGAGGGAGCAGAGCCGCAGAAGTCGATGCCTCATCTATAGCGCCGGCTCCTGTCACAGGCAGAGTGATACCAAATGCACTCCGCCTGTGAGGAATCCATAGTGAAAGCGCACTTTGCTCATTCTGGCCAGCGATTGGTTGCCAGATTGCTCTTGGAAAGGTACGGCACCCATGATTGCCCTGATCACCCTATTCCTAAATTTGCCACTCACTCCTGTCTTCTAAGTCTTCTACCGGTATTATGGTATGGTAAGACCTACCCCGAAAATAAGACCTAGTGTGTTTTTTTTAAACCAAAAAAAAAATATAAGACAGTGTCTTATTTTCGTGGAAACACTGTAGAGGTAAGACAATAAGAAAATAGATGCCGTTAGTACAGTGTTTGACTGAATAGCTATTTCTCTAACTTTATTTGTACTTAAAGAGGATGACATTTCCGTTTGCCCCAAATTAAGTGGGCTTATCAATACTTGTCAGTATGACATTTCTGACATGGCATAATGTACAGCAACATTATCATATTTCAAACAAACATGTACATTTTATGAATAAAAGCATCTTAGGTTTAAAAAGAGTCTTTGAAAATGAACCCAAAATGTGTATATAAAATGTAATCAATGAACTGGGTTTAGGTGGACTTTATCACAGCATGCAAGTATGAGAACAAGCGCAGAGGGCTTATTCCATGTGATCAGTTTTACTTCAAATTATAGAGCACATTGCTTACATGTATTTGTAGAAGGCTCGCATACGAGGGATAATGTCTGAAGATTCTCTTCATCCATTTCAAGATTCAGGTCAGACAGGTATTGCTTCACTTTGCGAGCCATCTGTGCATCTTCATAGAGTTTCTTGGCATTCAGAAAAGAGCTTCGACGTACTCGTTTTTTGTGACCACCTGTCTGTGCCACATCCAAAATAGCAGAATTGGTGCTTCCTTGACTGAGTGACCTGCAAACACAAGACACGAGACAATGGAATAAATCATTCTGGGGCTGGTTCTGGTACAAAAGCACCCATGCATGGTTGCCTTGAGAAAGTCTTCTAAGCATGCCTTAATCCAATAACACAAAGCTAGTGCAGGCTAGTAAATGTATTAACTTAAATCTCTATTAATTGGAGGGGTTTCTGGGAAAAATGCATATCCAAAAATCTATTACTTAGCAACTGAATTCTGCCCGATAGGCTTGTTTCTGGAAGGCTCTTGTAGCTCTTCCATTATGCAAACTAAGCAGTTGACACCATTCACTGAAGAAGTGCAAATAAATATATATATATTGGTCAATAGGAGAAGCTCATGCTGCAGATTTAAGATGGTTTTACTGCGGTCATGGAATTTGACACGTGGCAGGCGGGTGGCTTGATGACAGTTACTGTGTTAACTACTTATGTTCTGTGGTCAGTAAAGTAGCCAGTTAGTATATGAGGAGGGCTGGATTGATCATCATGCAAGATGGACCCTTTCTGGTTAATAAAGATAAATATAAAACAATCCCTTTAGTTACTGTGAGTTGCCTACTTTATATTTGTTCACTTACCTTTCCTATCAGAACATGTACTTTGACAGTGGAAAGTAAGCAACTGGTGCATCTAAATGTCTAATTGAACTGACAGTTTAATAATCTTATCTATGTTTTGTTAACTATAGTGGAAAGCTATTGCAGGCCATTTGGGCTCATTTATCAGTGTGCCATGAGCAGAGGTATGCTGCAACATCAATCAAAATCCAGCTTACATTAGTCTGCCTTTTCCAGACTGCTAAATGCTGCTTGCCATGGGTTCCTGTACATCACTGCTTTAAATGAAGTGAGCCTAATAATGTAATGGGCACCCAGATTGTAAGCACAAGCAATACACAAATTGTAATCACTAACTGATAACGGTTTGAAGCATTTTTGTGCTATATACATTATGCCTCTGAGACAATTTAAAAAATAAAAAACCTGACTTTTACAGAGTACCAGGGTATTATCTCCCACCTGTACTTCTTTATATACTCGAACAAGATTAGTCTGGCTTTAATAAGTTTAAATGGAGGGATATAGGAGCATGGGTTGAGTAAGAAACAGTCTGCCGGCCATAGGGTTAAAAGGTAACAAAAAAAGCGAAAAAGCGAAAGAAAGGGGAAAATGTGAATGAGCAGAATGAAACTATGAGGCAGTAAGCATTAAGGCCATCAACAAACTCACCCCAAACTTCTCCATTTCTTCTTCCTACAAGTGACAGCCATGAAGGAAGAAGCACAGGTACAAAGACAGAGAGAAAAGGGAGAGAGAAAGATCACAAGCTCAGAAAGAAAGGCCCAGTCCTCAAGACAAGACACACTAGAAGCCAAGAGACACTTCTAAAAGGCATGGGGCCCTGTGACTTATTCCACAAGATCACTTTACAAAGACACACTTGTCATATGGATATCTAACCTCCACACTGCTAGTATTCCACTGCTGCTACATTTCCTCCACAATCCAGTGACCTCAGTTATTTCCCTTAAATTTGCAAATTGAGTAATGCCAAACCTCCCCTAGTGCCCCCCCTGCATCTGAGTACAATTTTAACAGAAAGCAGTCAGTCTCTGCATATAGTAACTTGCAATGCATGCAGTATGTTGGATCTGTGTTCCTCCTGCAAGTATTGTAGGAGCAAAGACTTAAGTGCAGCAGCGTAAACGGAAAGATTGGGCTCTTAAGATGTATAAATGTTACATTCTAAGCATGCTTCTGGCAGTAATGTTGCTGAGCGATAATATCACCTATAAAAGGACTTGTCAATGACACACATCAAGAAATTGGGCTGGAAGCTAAGGGTTGAAACCAACATTAAAAAAACAAAACAAAAAAAAAACCTGTTGAAGACCTTTAGATTTACACTAACTTAGCAAAATCCTCCTTACTGAATCTTTCTAGCCTAACCCATGCCTATCACAGTTCAGGAGGAGGAAATCAAGCATGCATTCACATGGCTGGAACTGTGGAAACCTAAGATAGTACCTTGTGCGGAACATCAGGGCAGGGTCCATGTTCACAGAGGCCATTCTGCCAACGTGCCGGATTTCTTTTGCGATCATTCTTAGTTTTTCAAAGTTCACAAGCCCCTCCACCTTGGAGTCGTTTCCTGGTTGAGTAAAAATATACAATTAGTAATCACAATTAGGCTTATTCAATCACGCAGAAAATAAGCAACACAAAGCCAAAGCATTTCACATTTTCATTTGAATTTCATTTTAGGGCCAGTCTTCCTGAAACTGATATTTCAATTATGGTAAATGCAAGAGAGTTAAAATAGGCAAAATGAAAAAATAAAATATATGCAGTGCATCTCTGCAATACATGCAAAATTCCCTATGTTTTATCACATTAACAATGCTGCAAGTGTAGAAAAATACCTGAGGATCCTTCCTGAAATTCAAGCAGCTTCAAACTTCCTGTTTGAGCTGACAACACTGCCTCCGCTGAACCTAAATCCACAGCAGTGTTGTCAACACTGCCTATTCCCACACTTTTCACATGAATACATTGATTTCTTTCCAGCAGAATAATACAGCTTCCTAAACTTCAAAGAGCCTGCACACACACTGGAAGTTGTAGTTTTTGGGGACATTCCTAAATCAATAGGAATTGACTATGGACAACCTGCTGATACTTCCCACCCACAGCTGTCCCAGAAAGTATTTTACAAGCCTGGTGATGATGTCACAGGGAATAATAAAAGCAGTATCTGGATACAAGAACAAGGTAAAAAAAAATAATGCTTAGGCATGCTCTAGAAGGGGGGAGGGTGTGTGGTGGTAAAGTTTGGCCAATGCTTGGAGATCACATTTAAAGATGAATTTCCGTCAGCCTTTAAAAATATTTTTCAGAGGGAGACCTCACCGCTGGACACCACAAAGCATACAAAGAGCCAGAGGGAAGCTCAGCCTACTAGACACTACTTTTGGGTGCTTTGCCCATAGTTGTAAAAGAAATTGTAAAGTCTGCCCCAAGGTTCTCCGATTGGCTCTTTGCTTCTATTATTAGAAAACAAAGTTTAACCACTTGCTGACTGCTGTGTTTACACCCCCTTCCTGTCCAGGCCATTTTTCAGTATTCAGCGCTGTGGTGCTTTGACATTGACATTTATTCCGTCATGCAATGCTTTTATACCATTGTTTTGGGGACACGTAGATCTTTCTTTTGGTGGTATTTAATCACCACTGCGGTTTTATTTTTTACTATATAAGAAAAAAAGTACAGTTTAAAAAAAAAAAAAGTTATTCCCTTTATTATTTTAGGAAACATTATTACCCAATTTTTTTGCAAAATATAAAAGACTGGGTCAAGTCGAGTAAATAGACACCAAACATGTCACGCCTTAAAATTGCACGGGCCCGCGAAATCGCAAAAAACGACCATAGCCAAAATTGGCCATAGGCGACGCTTTGAAAGATTTTATCAGTGATTGATGGCCCTAGAATTATTGCTCTCACTGCAACGTTCGCTGTGATATGTAACAAGTGCTGCGCAATTGGCGCAATCTACATTTTTGCGTGTAGGCGCACCTAATGCATTTTTGCGCATGTGGGGGTGCGGGGACTTAAACATTTTTGTGGGGGGTTTTTTGTGTGCGTGTGTAAACTTTATTTATTTTGTGAGCATTTTTTTTTTTTTTACACTTAACTTTATTGTTAACACATGGGGTGCTAAGAAGTACACTATGTGATAACAAATTACAGCGACAGGTCCCATTCAGAGACCAGGAGGAGAGCGGAGGGAGATTGTGTACTGATCTCCCTCCGTTCTCAGTGCACAGGCCACATCGCCCGGGATGGATGGACGCCCGAGATCGCGGGAACGGTGGCGGTGGGGACAGCAATGGTGAAAAGAGGTGAGGAGGGGGGGTGTGCACCCTGACTTGCATCATACAAGCGATCGGGCGTCTTTTCAGACGCCGGACCGCTTGTATGTAAACGGCCATCGCATGTGCTGGCACGAAGGACGTCTAAAGAAGCCCACCCGCATCCAGGAGACTCCCCGTGCAGCCGTCTTTCAACGTTCGTCGGACGGGAGGTGGTTAACGTACACTACTGAATAAAGCTGCATACACAATGCTAAAAACACAAAATGCAATGGAACAGCATTGTGACTACCTTCATGTAGAAAAGTAAGATCTTTCTTTATAACAGGAAATAATGGGATGATGGGTGGCTGTAGGTTCTGGCTGTTCAGCATGTTACGATATTTCGCCATATTCCTCGAGGGGTCAAAGAGGTCTTGAAGATCTTGAAAAAGTTTTTCATATTTACTAGGCAGCTTTTCCCATGTTGTTCTTAGTCTGGATACTGCAGCCAAATTTAAGCCACTGTAATCAAACAAACATCAATGAGGTAAATACATAAAATAAAGAATATAATAGCTTCCCTATAATAAACAGTTCTAAATAATTACTGTATTTGTTACTGATTTGTGCCCCATTGATTTGCCAGAAATTAACTTTGCACTTAAGTTCTGTTGTGGGCTAGCAACAAACATCATTTTTGTGGACTAAATGGTCTAAGCCCTGACCAGTGTCTTTTGCAAAGTCTAATCATGCTTCAATCTAAGATAAGACCTAGAAGGGCTAAACAGTCTCTTTTAGATAACATAGTACACAGTTCAGCTCTGAATTCCGTACATAAATAAGAGGTATTTGCACTATAGAACTGGTATAACAAAATGCTTCAAATGGTATATTTCACGGCTCGAAAGGGAGCAAAGAGGATACGTTTATCATCTGGGTTCACATGCACTTTAACAAACCCCAAACAGGACATAAGAAATGACATAATGAACATCATGTAGCAACTATATGTGTATGCCAAGATCTTTTACCTAATGATTGCAAACATAGAGTTGAAGTTCTTGCATTCTCTACAGTGCAGTGCTATCTTGATAAAATGCTTGATAATCTTCATCCTTTTCAGCTGGTTGGTTTCCCTTAAAATTTCTGTGGCCACCCAGAAGGTTTCTTGGTTAATTACATCTTCAAAGTTCTTGAGGTTAGTGCTGCCAATCTTTGACTTCAGTTTGTAGAGATCTTCAATGTACTCTGTGGGCTCAATGTTCCTAAACAGCTCAAAGTTCCTCATTGAGAGCTGTGTAGCCACCTCAATGGTACTTAACTGAAGCAAGGAAAGATGGCTCTCTCTCAGCAAGTCCTGGGCATCTTCATCTGAACACAATGTTTCTGTTTCCATGTTGTTTTTAAGGTAATACCTACAAAAATAAACACTATATTAGCTATTTAATGATTTCAAGATGCTCTTAGGACAAATCAGCTTCACTGATCTATATACAGCCAACTGACAGAGATAACAGCATTTTAAGAAAGAAATAATAACACTATGATTTTCAAATATTAAGAAATATTCAATGTTAAGGTGCCAAAACCAAAAACATGTTGTCAATGGAGAATTTACATTGGTTTTTATACTGGCTGCAGGAGTTGTGTTAGTGATGACTCAGAGGCTGCATTTGGCTATTGGATGACTTCACTTTGAAAATAACTGTAAAACTGTCATGTGGGTAATGCAGTCAGGGAACATTCCTTTCAAATGAATATACGGTATTTATTCCTGGTTGTGGTATACATTATATATATATATATATATGCTAGAATCAGAATCGGGCCGGATACAGGGCATTTTGACAAGTACTTGTACTTGTCAAAATGCCCTGAAGCCTAGCGCCGAAGCTTGCGCTATGTTTTTTTTTCTTCTTACTTACCTCGCCGAGCGTCGCGTCACTGCTGCTCCGGTGGGCGGCGCTCCGAGCGGGGTCATCTGGCAGTCTCCGGGTCCTAATTTAGGTGGCCGGAGACTGCCAGATGACCCCGCTCGGAACGCCGCCCACCGGAGCAGCAGTGACGCGACGCTCGGCGAGGTAAGTAAGAAGAAAAAAAAAAAAAAACCCCGCAGCGGCCAGTCAGGAGCAGGGGAGCAGGGATGAGTCAGCGGCGCGCTGGTCAGGCGAGAGGAGCTCCAGGTGGGGTTCTAATTTAGCGGGCAGGCACCTCTAAGCCAGCTAAATTAGGACCCCACCTGGAGCTCCTCCCACTGGTCCAGCACTGCCGCTGACTCGTCCCTGCTCTCTCCGGCACACGGACACAGTGAGTGAGGGCAGATTTGGGGGGGGGGATTTATTAAGCAATTATGTATTGTTTGCACTGTATTAGCAGTATATACTGTATATGTATTACATGTACTGTATATACTGCTAATACAGTGCAGACAATACATAATAACATGAATGGATTAAATGATCTGTATGTAGCCCTGTACTATGGATCATTTAACCCATTCATGTTAGCAGAGGATAATTGTAAATGTATTGTTGCAGGCACTCTATATGTACATGTACTATATACTACATATAGAATGCACTGAACAATAGATTTACAATTATCCTCTGCTAATATGAATGGGTTAAATGATCCGTAGTACATGATATGTAGCCCTGTACTACGGATCATTTAACCCATTCATGTTAGCAGTGGAGAATTGTAGATCTATATATACTGTACATATACAGCACAAATGTCCCGTACATTGCAGCATTAGATTTACAATGATCCCCTGCTAACATGAATAGGTTAAATGATTCTTAGTGCAACTACATGTTATGTACTATGGATCATGATTTAACCTATTCATGTTAGCAGGGGATAATTGTAACTCTATTACTGCAGTGTACGGGATGTATGTGCTGTATATGTATTATGGATCATGATTTAACCTACTCATGTTAGCAGGGCAGAATTGTGAGCGCCTCCCACAAGCTGAGCAACTAGATGCGATGCAGCGATCTTGCCCAGCGCCGACTACATGAGGCATCGCGTGAGGCTACAGGGATCGGAGTAAAACTGTGAGTAAGGGAAGCTGGGATGGGGCTGGCTGTAAATCTATTGCTATAGTGTACTGGACGTGTGTAATGTATATGTAGTGCATATATACAGCACACACCTCCACTACACTCCAGCAATAGAGTTACAATTCTCCACTGCTAACATGAATAGGTTAAACCATGATCCATAGTACATAACATGTAGTTGTACTATGGATCATTTAAAATATATATATATACACACATATGTATGTATATATATTATACACATATAGATAAATACATACCCACAACTTTATTTACAAATGCAGTATTGTATTGTTTATGATCCTAAAAATCAGCTAGAAATCAGCAATTCTAGATGCATCTGAATTATTTGTCTTCATCTTCTTTACTTAAATGTAAAATAAACCCCTAATATTTTTAGAAGTGTGTGATGACCTAACCGCGATACTGTAACGTTACAATGTTTCTATTGGTTAACTTCACCCTAATTTGACTGGTTATATTTCCTCAGGGAAATCATCAGTAGTCATAATAACCATAATAAATAATACTTTACCTTCCACTCAGTTGTATTCTGTCTGCCAGCTTCGATAGCTGATCTGGTAGTCGCCTCTGCTTGATTACACCTTCAGGGGTGACAGACACCTCACATAAAGAGTAGGCATCAGGCACAGCAGTAAGTGCAAATTCCCTGATAGCCTGAATAACCACTTCCTTGGCGGTGGTATCTTTGCTTATCATTATGTAACGGCTCTGCTGGTCGGCTTTAAAAACTCGCAGTACCTGGTCAGGCAGATCTGGGAAAACACAATAGTGCAGAATACAGTCAGAACAGATAGGCACATAAATATTTTTTTTTTTCTTGATTGGTAATATTTACCTTCCAACAACATCTATTATTTCTAAATGAACTTTTAGAACGAAATTTTGTTCCTTATAAGACAAATATTTTTGTCAGAAGAAGGAAGTATCTAAAGATAAATCAGGAAATGTATAGGCATACACATTAAAAAAAGTCACAAATGCAACCGCTATGTGGCACTGTTGAGTCAGGAATAGCAAAATGCACCTTTGTTTTCCATTCTGAAATCCGGTTTCCCGATTTAATGTATACTAAAGAAAGGCTGCTGCAAAGGACGCAATTGCAATTAAAGAGAAAGAGTAATCCCTAACCGCAAGCTATTCTTTTAACTGACTACAGCTATTGATCAAAAGACAGGTTTAAATACAATAACCTGCCTCAACAGTTCAGTAGCTTAGAGTCCTGTAGCATCGTTTCACATATAAGGTATGAGCCTGTTACATCTACTTGTTAATGCCTGATCTATGAACACACCTGCTTCTCAAATATAGCTTAGTGCTTCAACAAAGAATGTATTCTATGTGGTCCTGCTCTTCACGAATCATTATTCACATGTATTTGAAAGCAGGAAAAGTGTGTCAGAATCATATTTTGGGCAATTTAGTTGTAATGTAACCATTCAACCATTAGTTCTCTGCAGACAAGGTAGAACCTGCTCTAGTTTGCTGAAAATGCAAGAATACTCTTAAAAAGAAAAGCACATCTAGTCCTATTTGGCAGTTCTGATGTTTAATGACAACCTTCTAGGTTTTTTCATTAGAAGAGGCCTAAACAAGACTTTGCTCCAGTCTTAGACTTGCTCTGGCCTCCCCACCGCACCCCTGCACATTTCCAGTTGTATATGAACAGCCCAGTGGTGGAAAAACATGCACACATACAACACAAATCTATCAGGTGTATACCCAATTCATAGTTGTGTACATGTTAAAATGACACAAACAGGGATACCTTCTCAATCACACACAATACTGACTCAGAAGGCAAAGGGTCACAACATAAGGTCATGACAAATACATTATGCATGATTTATTTTCTCTTAGGTTAAACTTGACACACACACAGCTCTGTATAATCCACCACTGAAGTAGCCTGCAGGTATAGCCCTGCACACTCACGGTTATCAGACCATTCAACAGCAAGATCCATTATAATAAAAGAGGTTATATCCGACGAAATGATGCATTGCTTATCATTAAGTGGGTTAAAAATATCCTGAAATGTGGAAAAATAAACACAGGCATAAGTAAGCAGCTGTTGAAAGAGAACTTGTGCAATCAGCATAGTTAATGAAAACAGATCAGCGTTAGGAGCTCCTTGAGAATGTCACTGCAAGGTGATAGGCCAAAAGATCCAGATGGGGAAAGGTGCCGTCACAAGATAGGAAGGAGCGATTCTCACCTGGAGTGGTGGTAAAGTCTAAGATACGGTGGTGAGACTGCAGCAGATCTGGATTACTGGATGACAGTGTCCCACTGACAGGGAGAGTAGCTGGCATGTGTTTGGTCTGCCGTAGACCAACAATGCTGTCATCTTGAGAATGGCCAATTCCAATGTCACTGGAAAAACAAACATTTAAGTAAGATCTCTGTGCAAATCTGATGCATGATGTACACATTCACAACTTCCCATTTCCACATAGACACTTGGTTACTTCATATTAATTCTGGTTTTTCATGCAATCATGGCCTATTCATTTTAATTTGCCTATCCATATAAAATAAATGTAGGAGAGATGGTGATTAGTTTATGCAATGACAATAGCCTATTGATCTACTGCATCCCCGAATATCTAATATCTAAAAGTGTCTAAGTCAGAAGCTGATACTGATGAGTATCTAATGCCACTGAACTCTTGTCTTGGGAGCCCAATATGCTTTCGGCCAAAACAAATCCACACCAGCCAGTAGTATTTTCTCCCTGAAAAAGGTCTGCACAGAGTGGCTGCTATTTTCAGTCTCTCTCTCTAATATTAATAAATATATATATATATACACACACACATATATACACATATACACATATATACACACACACATCGCACACCACTCCCAATTTCATTAAAAGATGATCTAATGTCCATAAGTCCATTTTTTTCTCTACAATCTTCAAATGTATTTCTTTAGTGTCTATAAGTACCTTAAAGGGTTCAGTCCAACCAAAATTGAGATTTCAAATTGTGAATGATGGTGGGGAGTTTTCTATGACTCCCTGTGCTTCCAAAAGCTAAATCTCTGTGCCGAGTTCCTTAGGCCTGCACACCAACTAAAAACGGAGTTGGATTTTTGCTTTTATACCATGCAAAACACAAATGGAGAACGGTGAATATGCCTGTTACTGCAGGATGATTAAGACTCCAAGATGACCAGGAAAGCAGGAACTATACTGCTGTTATCCCCATCTTATATCCAGAGATAAAAGCTAAGAGGCGAGTTGGCCTAAAATCGTTACCAAAAACTGACAGAACTGTTGGATGTATTGACCTTTCAGCGGTTAGTCAAGACTTATTTATATAAGTCTTGACTAACTTATAAGTCTTGACAGAACTTATTTATATATGCCAGCTTGTATTTAGGTTTAGTGCTCCTTTAAATAGAACGCATGAAAAAGCTCATTAGAACCAAATGGATGGATGCTGCTAGGCTGTATGCGTGGGAGTTGCATACCCACTCACTGTGCTGTGATAACACTTTGGACACAGAGTGAAATGTCAGTGAACTTCAAGAGGTAAATGTATTTTCACCTGACTCTTAGGAAATGCTAAATGAGAACCAGAAATCCTGTCAAGTGTAAATCCTACCCCCATCTCTGCTTCAACAATCACACATTAATGCCAAATGGAAAGACAGATCTATATATAATCCCTGACACAGTCAACAATAGTAAAACCTGCATCCATGACACCTTCCTTTCCTGGGGGAGAGAGCAGAAGGAAATATTATGTTGCTGTTATTATGTATCCATGACACTAGAACTCCAGATTTTGGTAATTGCTCTTGGAGCTACAGGTGCCTTTTCTCCTGATACATTACATCATGCTATAGCCAGGAGCTGCCCAATTCTGTCTAAACATTTACTGGAGAATTTCGTAGCTTAAGGCTTGCATAATGTGTTGTGCAGGAGTACGCAGGATTTCCTTCTTCATAGCATCAGGCAAATAATTGCCAGTTTCCACTGATTTAATGCATTTATGTAAAACCTCTTGCTTCAGATAGTATGAGTGCACGCATCTTACATCTAGCAGCTTTTGTTGTCTGTCACTACAATAAAAAAGGGAGGGGCCCTAATCTGTTCACAGGCAAAACAATCTGCAGACCCTTTGAGGACTGCTCTGTAGTAGGCCTATTGGGCAGGAGGGTGCAATACAATGAACTATTTTATTACTTCAGGACATGAAGTAGCAAGCAGTAGTAGAAGGGTGTGCACTCTGTAATTAATTATTTCTCATCATAACAAAACCGGTTTGTGACATTAGACCTATTGTTAGAAAGGAAATGATGTTTAGGTCGTGATGAAAGTCCGGCGTCAGTGGATTACAAGTCAAAGCCTGTATGTCTTTGTTTTGTGGAAGACAGTGCATCTCAAACAGTAGGTCAGATGAGGGTTCTTATAGAAATGGCTGAATCAATAGGCTCATCCTCCCATGAAGGAAAAAGTCTACTCGTTGGATTGAATACTGAATCCACGTTGTTATTTTTTTGTGATAGAATCGGTGCAGTAGGTCCGACCACTTCTTATAAACACACTCCTTTTGGTCAGAAGATTAGATGACACTGATGGTCTATGCCTACAGACAACTTTGGTTACCATTTAAAGTGGCAAGTGAGCATCTCGGTATCAAAGCTTTATGTAGGAGAATATGACAGAACACTGTAAACTCAGCAGAAAAAAAAGACAATGTTTGCCAAGCACAATGTTCTAATCTCATTTTCCACACATACATACTTGTAAGGTTTCTGAGGAAGAATACTGATCCGAGTTTTATCCAAAATCTTCTTCAGCTTATTCCTTCCTCCGACTGTGTTGGCTTTGGCCTTTTTGCTCACTTTTTCAAGTCCTATAACTTGTTCAACATCAACAGCCAGATCTGGAATAGAATAACGACTGGTTTTCTTGATGTCGCCAATTTTGGGCAAATGTGGGGCACTGTTTCTTTTTTCTTCCAACATTCTTGCAAGAAGCTCTTTGAAGACTGAAAAAGAATGCAACAAACTACTGTTAATGTGTATGTAACCAAATAAAACAGAATTATAAATGTGTACATAACTAAATAAAACAGAATTATAAATGTGTACATAACTAAATAAAACAGAATTATAAATTTGTACAGAACTAAATAAAACACAACTATAAATGTGTAAATAACTAAATAAAACAGAATGATAAATGTGTACATAACTAAATAAAACACAACTACAAAAGTTTTAAATATGAGTGTTTACATTAAAAAAAAAAAAAAACTTGACCAGAATGTACTTGGCCCAATGTGTTTCATATTCTTGAAGATGCATTGGATGCTCCATTACATTTCTGTATGAAATTTTAAGATGTACCTACAATGCTTTTTTTTTTTATTTTTAAAGCAGCAATTATAGCTCAGCATCAGTACAGACCTAAGGATCCTTTCACACCTCACCATATGCAAAACCACATGTTTTAGAGTTACATAACTGCATGTATTATGTGCAGCATATATATGCGTTTTATCATTTATTATGCAAAGAGAGAAAGAAACCTTTAGACTAGGATTTTATTTTTTTGCTAAATACACAAAATTTCCTTTTTTTGTGCAAATTTACTATATACTGGTCTACTTAACCTGCAGAAATGCACAACAATGCAGAACGTCATGTTTTTTAAAAAAACTCTCTAATCTGCAGCACATAAGACATTAATTAGACACATAGCAATAGAAAGTTTTTTTGTTTTAGAAGCGCCAGCGACAATCCTTATCCCTCACAAGGAAGGAATGCTAAGCACATATGCAAGGTGCAGCCCCAATACAGTCAAGGGAACTGGAACATCTGAAAGAAACACAAAAAGGGGTCGCCTTTCCTCGTGCAGTATCGTTTATTCCAAAAGAACAGGCATAAAGGTGAACTGACAGGTACTCACAATACTGAAGTTTAAAACGAGCTGTAGAACTGTAAAACCGGAGCAGTAAAATAATCAGAATAACGTGTCCTGTATAAAGCACTGAAGTGTCAACACGTTTCCGGGGCAGGCCCCTTCACGTCCTGACGAAGGGGGCGTACCCCGGAAACGCGTCGACACTTCAGTGCTTTATACAGGACACGTTATTCGGATTCTTTTACTGCTCCGGTTTTACTGTTCTACAGCTCGTTTTAAACTTCAGTATTGTGAGTACCTTTCAGTTCACCTTTATGCCTGTTCTTTTGGAATAAACGATACTGCACGAGGAAAGGCGACCCCTTTTTTTGTGTTTTCTTATTAATTAGACACATGGATAGGAATTCGACCTGAAATGCATGTTCCTGCAATAATATGCATACCTTTTACTGCAGGAAAATAGACAAATGTGGACACAGATCTACATATACGAATTACTGATAGTGTGTTCATTAAAAGACAATACACTGAGCAAGAGACAGCTTTAAGAGATTTTCATTGAGAATGATCTTATGCAGTAATAATGCACCATTTTAAAAAGGTATCATTTATTGCATAAAATGTAATGAAATATATGAGCAATCAACTTACCAAACAAATTTGTTTTCACAGTGATAGCCAAGTGAGTGTTGTTCTTGAGAATTTCCATAGCCTTCATTAGCTGAATGTTTTCAAAGTTTTGACCATTCACCTCCAATATCTACAAGTAAAGGGCAAGGAACACAACGTGATTAATAATCCAAGCTGTGACATTTACTTTCCTGTGAAAGAATGGCTCTGTGTTGGCTTTTTTTCCCTTTAATGTATAGAAGTTGCAGAGGTAATGGATTTAATTGACATGAATTATTGAACTGCTCCTTTCTTGCCCGTCTTCCCCAGCAGTAAACAGCAAAGATTTCCCAGGGAGGTGGTGGTCTTACAATACCTGATCCCCTCTCTTTAAGCCAGCTTCCACAGCTTTACTTCCAGGATCCACGCTGTCAACAAAGATGCCAAATGCCTTGTCTGACCCCCCAAGAAGGGTGAAAGGCAAGGGGGCTTCTCGAGAAGGCTTTGTTAGTGTTATTAATCTTCTCTTTGCCTTGGCAGCACATGCAATATTCAGCAGTCGGAGGTGTCCTCCCATTTTCTGGAAGCAAGAAGAAAAACAGCATATAACACGCTACAGGAGGACAATAACCTGAAATACATGCATATATAGTCATAATCAGCTTCTATTTACAGAATAGGAAATGTTACTTTCACATGACAAAAAAAAACTTTACCGCATGTTAATTTGGCCTTACGAAAAGAAAAAAAAAAGATAAAAGAAAAAAAAAACAAATCTCACCTCACGTTCCAAGTTGTTCTCAAATTCCTCTAAAAAACGAGTCATAGCTGGGTCACCTTCAAAGTCATTGAAATGGTTGTTAACCCAGAGCAATACTACTCGAGTCACCTGCAAGGTAAAGGACAAGAAGTGAGGGTCACTGTGTGGAATGGTCATTGGGTACACTGTCAGTTGTATGCTGAATTCCATCGTTTATTCACATTGATGTATGGCACCAGTGAAAAGGGGTGTACAAGTGACAGGTGTGCTTTAAAAAGGAGGTACTATAAAAGGTAAAATAAGTACCACATATAATGGAGGGTTTAACACATCTTGCCAAAAAAAAGCAATTTTTACCTCTAAGCCACCAGCTGAAACAATTCATTTACACAGTGTTCTATAGATATTTGCCATTCTTACCTTGTCCCTGAGGCTAGGGTCATTAAACCACTCCAATAACTTCTTCCCAACTTCCATGGGGCTTGACAGAAAAGTCCTATATGTGAGGAGGAAATCTTCTATATACGTTGGGTCTACCACAGAATGTTCTTCCACAAGGTGCATTGTCAGACGTTCAGCAGTTCCCTGTATATGAAAAATATCGTAAGTTCAGATGCCCGATCTTCATATCAATTTTGGCTTAATAAGTAAGACCTATGTGTCTTAAATCATGATGCATGATTACCATACTGAATACTAATCAAAACTACTAGCTTGCTTGAACCTTTCCACATATTTCTAACAGCAGTATTGAGAAAGGCATGTACAGAGACAACAGGTAGCACTGTCCTCCCATTATTTAGCAAAAGCATAAAGGAAAGACCTTCCATAGCTTTTACATTAACATGTAATAATAAGAGTCAACTTTCTTGTACCTTGATGACGATGTGACCTTTCCTGGTACCAGTGCGGTCAAGTTCTCTGTGCTCTTTCACCATGACAATTTCCCCCTCTTCTTCTACTTTTTGCATGTTCTTCTCCACCTGGTTCAGGATGCGACAATAATCTTGCTGGGCTATACAAACAAACTGGCAGAAAATGAAGAGAAGTCAATATCCAATGTTACAAAAATTTCCCAAAAACATATAAAATCGATAACTGCTCTACTGTTGAATGAGAAAAAAACAGTAATGGCAAAAGCATAGGAGAAAACGCATAGTGGCTCGGGGCGACCACAAAGATGCATAATGCATGGTAGATGTAGGGGCTGTAAAGGATTTAACTGTAAACCTAAACTTTACCTTTAGTTCTGCAAATTTTGCAGTGCTGGGCGTACTTACATGTGGTCCAGCTAATTAGAATAATAATATTTACAGATATAAAATGTAAGATTTAACTTAATGTTATAGTAAAGAGCTGTACTAAATACTATATTTTATTTCTTATTCTATTTCTTCCTTAACAAATTTAGCTGGATTGGGCTGGACCTGATACTATGAAGTGAAGACTGGTACTGGTGCTCTGTGCCCATAAAAAGTCCTGCTTTGATTAAATGCATTTTACTGAAGCCCAGTTTGTGACTTTACTTATGGAAGTTATTTTAACTAACCCTTTATAACTGTAATATAGTACTAGTGGAAGTTTGAGAAATAAAATATTGTGCAGAAGTCTTAAAAAATGCTGTAAAGCAGTATCGCTTTCAATAAATAAATGCCATAAATAGTTTTACTCAACTAAGAAACTTGCTACAAAGTGAGGTCAACAGAAGAAACAAAATGAAATGATTTGGTCTGACCACTCTTTGCCTTGAATCAAGTACCAATTCTCTTGACATTCCAAGTGGAAAACCATAGGTGCTTTAGAACATATCCTTCTTATGCACAAAATCAACTATCTATACAAGTACATAACAATTAGTTGACTCCCATACTACCCCTGACACTGATAAAACCCACCCTAACAAGCACAGAGCAATGGCCATCTTGAGTCTATGATTCCATAGATACTACCAAGAAAAACAGGGATGTTTAGGATACTGGATGAACATTCACTGATACAAGCTCGTCTATTTAGCTTAACACATTAAATTAATCACAGATAGCTAATTAGTGATTAATAGCACTGTAAAATCATCCGACATTTCATAAACAGATGAATACATCATAAATGACATACAGCAGTCCAAGTAAGCCGCAAACTGCTTTTGAGATTCCCAATGATCTCATGTGAAGTACCCGGCTGTCGGATGCAAAGTAACTGCGTGCTGGCAGCCTGGCACTGCTCTACACCTACATACCTGGCAATCATCCACTTTGGTTCTCATCACTCCCTTCATGAATTCCTTCTCCATGGTTGGAGAGACTCCAAAGCTGTTTCCCATGCAAAGTATTTCTGTTCTCCCATCAGGGTATGTCACTTCCACTGAGCCATTTAAAATGACTGACCAGGAATCGAGCTGTAGGGCCAAGACACAAGCCAATATCATTAAAATCACACAGGAATCGTTTAGTGCTAAACAGTTCACACTCAGGAAAACAGCATTGAAAATCTACAAAATAATAGTTTCTCATATATCTATCTACCTATATATCTATATATAGATATATCTATATATAGATATATCTAGATATATAGATATATCTATATATAGATATATATATATTTAATGCACACCCATTGTCAGATAACCAAACATTCGCATGCCCCGTACACACACCTTCAAAATAGTCACACATAGATCTCTTCCATGCACATGACACAGAAAACATCCAACTACACAGGTCCTATGAGACCAGGGACCCAACTAGACCTTGTGCAAGATGGAAACATCTACCAAAGTCACACATCTTAAAGTGTAATGTCAAGTAAAGAGTAAATCTCTTGTAGCAAGTACAAAAAAAAATAATTGTTGATCCTGCAAGCTTCTATCTTCCTGTGCACTCTGTCTGTGCTGCACTGAAACAGTATACATTAACAGTAGGGATGCACTGATAACAAACAAAAAGTTTTTGCTATACATACACTTTGCGGAGGAGTACCATGATCATATGCATTTCACTTAAACCTCTCTGCAACTAGAGAACGTAGCTTTAGATGTCAGTGCAATTGCATGTGGTAATCAATAGGAACTACATTTTAGCGTTCATCAGGTCATGATTATTGGGCACATTTTTCAGATTTATTGTTGGTTCTCAAGTAAATAAAAGGCACACATGGGATAAACATAAAAACCAACCGAACAGTTTATGGGACAATCTCTGAATATCCTTTGCAGTTGTTACCTTGGCATAGATTGCCATACTCTAAATACAGTTTTATACATATCTACGTACATGTCAGTTTCCCTTGACAAATTTCTGTTGCCTAGACATAGGGGCCCTAAAATATTCTTCTAACTTAGATAGACAGCATAGTAACCTGTGCCACTGTCACGCTGTTGAACAACAACACTCATGCATTCATGCCTTTAAACGACTCCATTCCTATCATCTCATATCAGTCAAATCTAAAAGCTCAAAATCAAAGAGCAAATCTCCTACCTCCTCTCCATCATTTAGTACGACAGTCCCTGCCCGTTCCACAACAGCAAACACCATGACAGCGCACAGTTCCCGTCTGACAGACATCGTCATATTGGCAAAAGCAGGCAACTGATGCATGAACTCCAGGAGTTGTTCTAGAACAGAGAAGAATATTAAGGTGATGCACAGTTATAGTGTTATCAACCGAAAACAATAAATCCCAGACAATAAGAATGAATACATACAGACATATGCTGAACTAATAAGCGAACACTAGAAAAGGCTCATAACGCTGTCTTGACAAGCAAAATCCATTACTTGATTGAAACTCCCTCCCTGTATTACGAGCCCCCCTCAACTCCCCGACAGGTCTCAGGCACTTCCAGGAAGAACACTGTCAGTTGTAAAGATAGTTACCGCAGTCCAATCATAAAAAATAAAGACTCTCCATGAAAGCTAATGTGAATTGCTGGTCGAACTGAAATATGCCAAGTGATGTAAGCAGTTGCAGGATGAATGGGGGTGATGTTTACAAAGGGGCTGCGAGAGCTGGGGACATTCCGAGTACTACTATTGTACTTTTACTGTATGTACTTTTTCCTGAAAATCCCCTTTAACATGGATGGATAAACATTAGCACAGTGCTTCTTTTAAAACAAAGTTATGAATGCTCAGATTGCATTAAGAGAAATCTTGAGAATGAAAACAATCTAAGGAATGTGCAGTTATTCCAGCTTTGCAAGATCTGTCAGGGAATGACAATAGAATTTAAACTGGCAAAGAGGACAAAGAATAACATTAACATAGAAGCGAAGAAACAACTCAGTTAGTTTTATAAGCAGCACAAGGCGTGCAGTTCAAATGATTCTCTTTATTGGCCAACTTGACTTATCAAAAATGCTGAGTTTTGGTACTCCACTATAAGCTGCACAGAAATAAAATACAGCTAGAATGTAACAGAGGCTTTAAAGTGGAAAAATGCCCGTAGTGCAAGGTCTGCTGTTTATGTTTATCGGCCTCCCCCTTGCTGAAAAACTGGGGGGAAAAAAACATCTATAGGAATAGGTATACCTAAAGATGTTACATTCTATTTTCCACAGATTAAGGGGGTGATATCATCTTCGGATGAGACCCCAGGGAATGATGAGAACTCCAAATCCTGCGAAAAGACACTGCAACATGGTGCCGGATACATATTCTCAGCATGGATTGGAGTACGCTACATTCCCCAGATCTCTCTGGATGGAGGATGAAGTCACCCTCATCTAGGTGCTGCGGACAGAAGGCAAGGGAAAATGCATTTTTTCCCCCTCACAAACATTTTATATTTTTTCCCAGTGGTTAAGTAATGTGAAGTAAACCTAAAAAGTGGTCCTTTTGTAGGTGCAACCTCCACTTTAAAGTCCAACTGAAACCTCTTAAAAGCTATTACTATAATGCAATCAGGATGTTTACAGTCAGGCATGGCCCCCCCTTAATGTCCCAATGAAACTCTCTGCCCAGCTAGACAGAGTGCTGTTCATTAAAGTATTGTTCAGGTGGGGGCTTGGACTGCAGGGCCGCTGCTTGTGAATCAGAGATGAGGTCTGACTCTCCTAGTGAAGCCAGCACAGGGTCTTATTGCTGTACACATAGCATGACTGTATGATAATAATAAATGAAGAGTTTGTAATTGGGCTTTAACCGTACTTGTATCTGCATGCCAGTTTTCATGAAGGTCCTTAAATGAGGTCTGATTCTCAGAGTTAGGACAGCGTTGCTTGACTGTTACATGAGATCTTATAGTTCTACAGAAGATTTTAGGTAGGAAGATGCCAATTGGTAAAGTGACAGTATTAAGTAAAGGTGCAAATGATTTAAAAGACCAGATGGATGAAGAGGCTGTTTTGTCTGGTAAGCTTTGCCATGGCAACAGGAATGAAGAGGCACAAGTCATGTCAATGCAGGTGACGTGTACACAATTAAGCTGCTGCATTGCTCAGTGAACGCTGCTCTTCAGGTCATTAATTCAATTAAAATGAGAACATTATGGAACTAGGGATGTAGAGGACTCTTGTTGCAGCAAGCAAACAAAATGGATTTCTGCTTAACATGTATAAAAAACATTAAAATGTAAATAAATAGGAGATTCCTACAAAACCTGGCAAGAGACTGAAATAATACCTGAAAGTATATTTAACTTTGTATTTCAGACACACATTCATAATACTATGAACTCCTCCAGCATATTTGGGATGGGGGCCAAATATTACTGCTGGAAATGCTCAGCATATCATGAACTATGTGCTTCCAGAACAAAAAGACAAAAATCAAGTAGGTGCACAGGAAAACACGGCAGGTTAAGATTTTGTAGGTGAAAAATTCTATTACAGCAGCGCATTTTTAGAAGAATGGCCATGTAAAGAACACAGTGTGCAGTGGTGAGAGTACATCCAAAAAGAGTGTCAAACACCAGAGATAAGGAATAGAAGCAAGGACTTCAGCTAGGGGATTGTCAGCCATCACAACGGCTCGGACGAGCTGCAAGGCGATTACATGGTACATTCTGTGCTGAAGCATATTGATGAAGCGTGTTTGATTCTGTTCTTCCTCTATGGTGGGTTAGGCCAGTGATTGATTGCTAGATTCTGACCTTTATCAGAGACGTGTTTATGTCAGCGAAAGACAGGATTAAAAAGGTGGGACTGTCTGTTCAATGCTGGCAATCTGGCTTTTTGTCCACATACCAATGTCATCATCTGTTCGGTCAATGGGATCTTTTTCCAGGCAGTCTCTAACAATATCTCGGCTCATTAAAGGATCAGATGCTCTCTCGATATCCTCTTCGTCATCGTCATCTTCTGAGTCTACAGCAGTCTCTGGCAGCCCACTCAGGTCCATATCTCCGGGCTCACTTTCTGTGGCCTTTAAAAAAAAAAGAATCAATCAAATTAAACAGTTGAAACCTATTAGCCATGGTTTACAATGTCCATGCATACACAATGGGATATGCTTTACTTCAATTTGTGACAATAAAGCAAGAATAGTTGTTTTTCCTACGCAGAGCAGACTTTCAGAGTCTACCTGACTAGCCCAAGTTATACCCCACCTTTCCAAACTCAGGGGTCTATTTATCAATGTTTTCCGCCAAGATTCGCCAATTTTTCCATGATTCCATTAGAAAAATGAGTAAATCCTGGGTAAAAACATTGATAAACACCTTAGTGTGAACGGTAAAAACATACTGTTTACTGTAGATCAGTATCTGAACCAACACAATTTATCCTTCTTTCAATTTCTGCCAATAATTACTAAAAAAGCTTTAAAATCTTTTCCCTGTACAGTCTGCTGATGTCCAGTAGTCATTCCATGTTAGGTTTATTCAAATCCCCATGATATTTGACATTTTCAAAGATTCCGCTCATTAATTTACTGCTCCACACTTGGGAATACCAAAACAGAGTTCCATTTGTCCATGTATGAAAAAATAATTAAAAAACATTATTTTGTCTGATAGACTGCACTGTTTTCTACCAGTAGCTGCACAAGAAATTCTCTGTACCCATACCTACCAACTGTCCCTCATTTGGAACCAAATTCCTCTTTCCTCCTCAGTTGTACCTCTTTTTGGTCTACACTAAAATGATCATCCTTCCTCTTAATCGTTTGCCATTTTGAAAAGTCAATATAAAGGAAAAGTAAGGGTGATAAAAAAAAGTTCTGGATTTAACCATTTTTTTACATATAAATGCTTAACGGTTCGCAGAAGGTAAGGGGGTGGCAGGGGTGTTTCCATTGCCTAAATGCATTATTCAGGAAGATGTTCCTCTTTTGCATCTCAGAAAACTGGGAGGTATGCTGTACCCCATCACTTCAAAGCTTATGCTCAGATGCCACACAACTGTGATCATATTCAGAAGTGTTTAGCCCATTGGTAAAAAGTCACTGCATGTAGGCATGTTGTTATTTTTTTAAAATTATTATATATTCACCCACAAATGTCTACGTTTTGTTGGAAGCATGAGCAGAATATTCCCCATAAACACGAAACTTATTACTAGGGTCAGTGGTGATTACAGGAAAATGCAATACTCTACAATTTCACGGAGACATGTTGCATAAGGCTAGTATTATCACAGTGCTGTCATTATTCTACAACATTCTGCCAGATACAGAACCTGCACAGCTTCTAGCCTAAAGAACATTTTCCATATCTATATTATAAACACATAAGGCAGCAGCTCTTCCTCCTGATCCCATGCTGCTATGCTGCCTACGGATAATTTGAAAAGCCATTTAAAGGCAACTGTATGCTGGTGAGAGCAAAGAATAAACAGTGAGCATTAAAGAGGATCCTTTGGAAGAAAAAAAAACCTGCTTTGATTACATACAGCAGAAGCAGAAAACAAAACAGTTTATAAATACAAAAGGAACTATGGGCAGTGTGGTACAATGAATGAGCAACTACGGGATGGTTGCCAGGTTACATGGCAGTCTAAAGGTACCCATACACTGCACGATTCTCATACGAGAATCGCAGGAAATCCCACGATCGTACAAGAATCGTGCAGTGTGAATGAAGGTGTGCGACCGTTTCTACTGTACGGTCGCACGTCTTTTGTCTAAGGAGCATGCTAGAAAACCAGCCGAAAATCTTACAATTTTCGGCTGGTTTGAATGATGCTCGGGAGGCAAATGCACGCGCACACTGCCCATTCAGCATTGCGGTTATCACAAGCCCTCAGGGGGGCGGGCTTGCGATGATCGCAAATACGATCTGCCTGTCCAAGATAGGCAGATCGTACGTTTTTTTAAATTACTTTACAACCATCGCAAGACTAAGGACTTGCGATGGTTGTAAAGTGTATGGCCACCTTTATCCTCAGAATGGCAGTATGCACTGTGTATGACAGACTGGTCCATTCCCCAAAATATAACCTTGTTTAAAAAGGTATCTTCAGGGAAAGTGAACCCAGTAATGATTTGTATGGGGCACTGCTGTTATTTCGAATATATGTAATGTGTAAAATCTGCTTCCGGACAATTCTAATGCCATCAGCGCCGTCTTGCTACGGAATCCCCATAGCACATATAAAAACTGATAGATTTTACTATAGCTGTAGGCTTTAGAGAAAATCATTTAATTAAGGAGTTGCAAAAGCAAACATTTAGTAATTTGGGGAACTTTCCCGACAAGCAAACAATGTATCAGGGCAAATCAATGGCCTTTTGTCTGAGATTCACTGGCATGGTAAGTCACCGTCTGTGGCCAATAAGCCTAGGTAGCGCGATGCGCCATATTTTGGCGCAGCCCTGTCAGCAGCGTAACAGTTAATGAAACACGGATGACTAATAAGAATATGCTAGGAAACAGATGAGTGTGACAATGCTCCCGCTGAGGACATAATGAACCAACATTCAATTTGTCTGCACTAATGCAGTGTTCCCTAGCTGCCACGGTGAATAAGCAGCTGCTATCAATTGCTGCTAGGTAGCCACAGGCAGCAGAACTTCAGGAAAGAAAACGCCAAAGGTGAGTTATAAAACCTGGAAGGAGACACGTCTGTGAGGGAAAATGAAAGTTGCTATAAAATTCAGCCCTGCAGCTTTTTATGCCTTTGAGAACTGGGAAGGTGCACATTTCTCTGGCCTGATTCAGCATTTAGTGACTACATTTCCAGCCACCACATTTCCCAAGATGAAGTAATGTCAGAGCAGAGTGACATCCAATTCTCCCCTTAGACACACAAATTCAGTTTACTGCTGTTAATGTGTCTGCAGAGTGCAGACATCCATCTTAAGTGCAGGAGCCCATAGTAAGAATCTTCTCATTTATTTACTTCACTGAATGTTGCTGGTATTTGCCATCGACAAACCTTAAATACAGGCAAATGAGTGCTTCCATCATTCATCTTACTCTAAATACAGCAATCCCTTGTGGTTTCTCCCCTGCATTTGCAACAACGCAGTCCATCACACAATAATTGTTTCATAGCAGCACGTGATCACACTCCGAAAACAGCGCGGCAGCTAAATATAGCACTGAATTTCTTAGGTGTGTCCTCAGGTGCCCCATCACAACTTCTACACACAAGCATGTGTCTTTGTTATGTCCATCCTAACTGAGTGGCCAGTCAGAAGATGGGAATGAAACCACAAGCAATATCTATTTCTAGGAATTTCTTGGTGCTTCCAGGACATCTGTCCTGCGAAAATTAAAAAGGCTGCCAACCCCAACTACATCTTCTGTTAAATGCTGGTTCCCTGGCTGTCTTGCTAGTCTCATGCCCTCAATAGTTTTTAACTTGATTATCTGGAACAAGTATGCAGGATCAGGTGTTTTGACTTCACATACTGCATTCTTGTTCTGGATCAGCAACTCAGGAAATATGAGGGCCCATTCACACCAGTCCACCTGATTAAGCACTGTGTTTCAGCAGATGGGCTAATGTGCAGTGACAGCTCCGCCAGTGGGTGTTGTATCGCAAACTGGTGGAGCTGTCACTGTTTACATTTTTTCCCCCAAACTTTATTGGCAGTGTACAATACATACATCCTTTTCAGGTACCTGCATGGCAGTGCGGTCCAAAGTGCTGCCGTGCAGTGACCTATGGTGGGATCCTCTGTACTGTTGAAAAATGAAGCATGTCTGCATTTTATCGCTGCTCCCACCCATCACACCTGCACTGGGATGTGATTCTATGTGTCCTAGCAGTAACCTGCAGTGTTCCCGTGCGGTACAGCGCAGGTCACCGCTAGATGTGTGAACGGGCCCCCCGATGGCCTTTGAAGCAGCATGACTCCCATGCAGCCAGCATTGTGAGAAGGCAATACCAGGTGTAAATATTCATTTAGATGGTAATTTTAACTTGTAGTGCTGTACAAGGAAATAATGTATGTAAAATAATGCGATCAGCCATTCTACAGTGAAAATTGAACAGTCCAAGGCTGCATTCATACCCAAGCATGAGCATAGCCAGATGATTTACCGGTAGAGGCTTTTCTTGCACGTTTGTATGTGCTTTTTTTTTTATGCACTACTTCTAGTACAGGAGCAGAATTGAGCATTTTTGGCCCTATAGACTTTTAAATGGGAAACTCCCAAAAAACACAAGCATAAAGACATGCTTTTCAAGTGTTTTTCAGGTGCTTTCATTAAAGTCTATGAGGCCAAAATGCACAATTCTGCCTGAAATGGAGCTCAAGTACTTATTCGAGTTACAGGCATTTCACTACAAGTGACAGAATGCTCAGGTGTGAACAGTGGTCATTGACAGACAACAATGGGATTCCTCTTGTTGAGCATTGGAGCCATGAGGCAATCGAGCTTCTGAATGCCTAGGTGTGAATGGGGCCTTAGTGGCAAAGCATATTGTATCGGGCATAGAGAATTAAAAAAACTTTGCATCAAGTGTTTGTCCAGTATCAGCTTTGAATGTACTATTTGTAACACCACACATTTAAAATACCTTTCTAGTTTCATCATTTTTCTCAAGGCTGAGAAATGTCATTTTGGTTCCGTTTTGTTTTTAGAGTAGAGAAGGGTGTCTATGGCCCATCAAGGAGAGTCTCAAGGGAAACAGGAAGTGAAATTTCTGCAAAAGCGAGGGGAAAACCCCTTTTAGACAGCTTTCACATTAACAGGTGTGCCAATGGGAAACTTTCCCCTCAGCCTCTCTTCGTGTGAAAGCATTAACATTTTTAATTTCCCAGCACTTTCTATAATAGACACAATGTGCACCATGAAAAAGAGAGGGTGAATGTTCACAGTGGGTGCACGGAAAGCAAGAAATCTTGATCGTGGTTTTAACATTTCACCATTCTATGCATAACCAATGTTTTGCCTATACGTGAACTTTAAAGACTACACATTTGCATACACACAAACAGCCCAATATGACTTGCTATATGAAAGGGATTTTACA